AAGACCTTGGCCAGGCCGATTGAATGAAAGTAGAAAAGAGTTTCTTAGGTCATTCAATGGTCGATTAATTTTGACAAGAACACATAGTTGGTCTCCTATTAGGATTTGTCATTTGAACCATATCCTACGGTGACCTAGAGCTATAAGGACAGAAAGAATTAATGCATTATTCTTCTACGGGTTATTGAGAGTAAATTGTATATTTCATGTTATCCTGTCGTTGAGGAGTGTTTTTAGACTCCACCCTTGATTAGTATATTGATGTGATCAATTTACTACCGATTTAGTATTGAACCTATGAGGTCGCACACTAACGAGTGTTATGATCTTTGCTAAAGGAAGAATTACTTTATTATTTGATAATTAAATTAAAGAATTTAATTAAGTCAAATAAATTTAGTTATTAGTCCAAATGAAAATATTGTTATATTTTTTGCTAGCACAGAGAATATAATTAATATTGTGAGCAAATTGAAGTTTTCTATTTGGAATAAAAAATTAAATTATATCTCTTGAATTAAATTATATATATATATATTTGGTACTTATAATTAATATTTATTTATATATGGAATATATATTAAATATTAATAAGGAGACTAATTCAAAGTCCACAAAATACCATTTTAATTCTTCCTTGGAATTATTTTTCTAAAGTTCAACTTTGACTTGAAAAGGAATTAAAACGCCATTTTAATTCTTCCTTGGAATTATTTTTCTAAAGTTCAACTTTGACTTGGAAAGGAATTAAAATACCATTTTAATTCTACCTTGAAATCATTTTTCTAAAGTTCAACTTTGACTTGGAAAGGAATTAAAACACCATTTTAATTTTTCCTTTTCCATTCACTTATAAACTTTTGTACTCAGGAGTCTAGAAAGATAAGAATGGAGTGGGCATCTTGGTGGATAGGGAACTTAGAGAGTCTGTGGTTGAGGTTAGATGAGTGAATGATAGATTGATAATTATTAAGTTGGTGGTTGGAGAGTGCACCCTAAACGTCGTTAGCGCCTATGCGACGCATGCGGGCCTAGATGGGGAGGTTAAACAGTGCTTCTGGGAGGGGTTAGATGAGATTGTGCGCCATGTTCCTCCTGCTGAGAAGCTATTCATAGGAGGAGATTTCAATGGGCATATTGGGTCGACTGCAGGTGGTTATGGCGAGGTGCATGGAGGCTTCGGTTTTGGGGAGAGGAACGGAGGAGGTATATCACTGTTAGACTTCGCTAAGGCGTTTGGGTTAGTGATTGCGAACTCTAGCTTTTCGAAGAGGGAGGGGCATTTGGTTACTTTTCAAAATGCGGTAGCGAAGACTCAAATTGACTATCTCCTCCTCAGGAGGTGTGACAGAGGGTTGTGCAATGATTGCAAGGTGATTCTGGATGAGATACTCGCGACGCAGCATAGGCTCTTAGTAATGGACTTTGGTATTATGTTAAAGAGGAGAAAAAGGTCTGCTCGAGGAAGACCGAGAATCAGGTGAGGAGCCTTAACTAAGGATAAAGCCCAAGAGTTGGAAGGGCGGTTGTCCGCTCTGGGAGCGTGGAGGAGCAGTGGTGACGCGAGCACTATGTGGTAAGCAACAACAGACTGTATTAGGGAGTCTGCGAGAAAGGTGTTAGGGGTCTCGACGGGCGTCTCTGGTGGGCACAAAGGAGACTGGTGGTGGAATGAAGTGGTCCAAGGTAAAGTGGAAGCGAAGAAGGCGGCGTACCTGAAGTTAGTGGGGAGCATAGGTGAGGAGGAGAGGCGAGCGTGCATGGACAGGTATAAGGTAGCTAGGAAGGAGGCTAAGATGGCGGTCACGGAGGCTAAGACTGTGGCTTATGGTCATATATACGAGGAACTGGGGGAAAAAGGGGGAGAAGAAGTTATTCCGGCTGGCCAAGTTGAGAGAGAGGAAGGCTCGGTATTTGGACCAAGTGAGATGCATCAAGGATGAATATGGTAGAGTATTGATGGAAGATGCCCAGATTAAGAGGAGATGGCAGACTTACTTTCATAAACTTCTAAATGAAGAAGGGGAACAGGATATTATGCTAGGAGAATTGGAGCATTCCGAGAGTCACCATGACTTTAGGTACTGCAGGCGTATCGAGGTTGAGGAGGTCGTGGGAGCTATGCGTAAGATAAGTAGGGGTAGAGCGACCGGACCAGACGAGATTCTGGTGGAATTTTGAAAGTTAGTGGGGAGAGCAGGTTTGGAGTAGTTGACTAGGTTGTTTAATGTTATTTTTAAGGCGAAGAGGATGCCAGATAAGTGGAGGTGGAGTACGGTGGTTCCTTTGTATAAGAATAAAGGTAATATCCAGAGTTGTAACAATTATAGGGGTATCAAATTACTGAGTCATACCATAAAAGTGTGAGAGAGGGTGGTTGAAGCAAGGGAGAGGATGATAGTTTCTGTATCCGACAACCAGTTTGGGTTCATGCCGGGACGTTCGACTACAGAAGCTATACACCTTGTTAGAAGGTTGGTGGAAATGTATAGAGAGAGGAAGAAGGATCTGCACATGGTGTTTATTGACCTAGAGAAAGCATATGACAAGGTTCCTAGAGAAGTTCTCTGGAGATGCCTCGAGGCAAAAGGTGTGTTGGTTCCCTACATTATGGCGATTAAGGACATGTATGATGAGGTTAAGACTCAGGTTAGGAGAGTAGGAGGCGACTCTGAGCATTTTTCGATTGTAATGGGATTACACCAAGGTTCTGCGCTCAGTCCATTCTTATTCTCCCTGGTGATGGACGCGTTAACACACCATATTTAAGGGGAGGTACCATGGTGCATGCTATTCGTCGATGACATAATTCTGATTGATGAGTCGTGAGCCAGGGTTAACGAGAGGCTGGAGGTTTGGAGACAGACTCTTGAGTCTAAGGGTTTCAAGCTGAGCAGGACGAAGACGGAATACCTGGAGTGTAAGTTCAGCGCTGAGCCGAGAGAAGTGGGTGTGGATGTGAGGCTTGGATCACAGGTCATTTCGACTAGAGGCAGCTTCAAGTACCTTGGTTCGGTTATCCAGGGGGAGAGGAGATCGACGAAGATGTCACACACCGTATTGGGGTAGGATAGATGAAGTGGAGGTTAGCATCTGGAGTCCTGTGTGACAAGAGAGTACCACCGATACTCAAAGGTAAATTCTATAAAGCGATGGTTAGACCGGCCATGATGTATGGGGCTGAGTGTTAGCCCGTTAAAAACTCACATATCCAGAAGATGAAAGTAGTAGAGATGAGGATGTTGAGGTAGATATACGGGTACACTAGGATAGATAAGATTAGGAATGATGATATTCGGGAGAAGGTGCACGTGGCTCCCATTGATGACAAGATGCGGGAAGCGAGACTTAGATGGTTCAGACATATTTAGAGGAGAAGCCTAGATGCTCCGGTACGGAGGTGTGAGCGGCTGATTGTGGAAGGCACGAAAAGAGGTAGAGGGCGGCCTAAGAAGTATTGGGGAGAGGTGATCAAGAAGGATATGGCGAGACTCCAGATTTCCGAGGACATGACACTTTATAGGGAGATGTGGAGGTCGAGTATTAGGGTTGTAGGTTAGGAGGTAGTTGAGTCTTGCCTTACTTCGTACCATTGTGGGACTAGTTAGGTAGGGTTTTTGTCTAAGATAGCTAGTGGCAATGTTGTGTCTTACTATTTTGCTTTCGAGTGCATGACCTATTTACTAGCTATCGCTTTTGCTTTGCATCTTTCTTCTGGATTTCATGGTGTTCCTATTTTTCCTATGATTGTTGTGGTGATACTAATATTGTCTCCTTTTGTCCTTTTGTCTTTTTGTTTTCTTGAGCCGAGGGTCTTTCGAAAATAGCCTCTCTACCCTTCGGGTTAGGGGTAAGGTCTGCGTATACACTACCCTCCCCAGACCCCATTGGTGGGATTTTACTGGGTTGTTGTTGTTGTTGTTGTTGTTATATATAGAGATATATTTGTGAACTTGAAGAATATATGAAAACCTATAAGGTGTATGTGTGCCCCAAAAAAAATCAAGAGAAAATATTATTGCGAGAAAATTATTTCTTGTTCCTTCTACTTTTGAGTTGAGATTTTTGAGAAAATTTCAACACAATATTTGTCGTTCAATTTGTTCGCGATTTTCATTGATCAGGTAAAGATCGGTCTCGGTGTGGATACGCATAGAGTCTTCAAACTATCGAAGAATTTTTGAAACGAGACTCTTTTCACCAGGTACGTCTTAGATTCGATCTTTGACATGTAAATAAATTTTAAACACGAAAAGATCTTTCTAGAATTATTATTGTCTTCCGCTCCGCTGCATGTTATGAACATCTCCCGCAATCCTACAATCGCCTATAGAATTAAGATAAAGGTTCCAGTCTGTCAATCCTTATTATGCACGAGTGGACCTGATAAATTTCTCTGTATTGAACCAAATGAAGGCATTAAGCTGCAAGTGGTGCCCTTCCATCAAGATACTCCTCTTGGAACTCAAAAACTTTAATATCTCATAAGGTGCCGGAGATTTTTGGAGTTACTATGCTACGAAGCAAATGTAATTAAAGAAGTTGAACCAAAGAATATTAAAAGGAAGACTTTCATTATACACTCACACCTAACAATTTCAATGTCACCTATATATATATCTAGATAAAACAGGCACAATATTTATTTTTAAAAAAATAGTAATAACATGATAGGCTTTGCACGAGAAAAAGTTCAAACTGAAAACACTGTGCACAACATATTAAAGTAGTAGCACGTTATTGTCTTTGCGTAAGCCATCCAATACTGTACCTTAGTCCGAGCTTGACAAGCAACATGCGTCACTAGATGGAATAAATAAAATAACAAAAAAGCAAGCAGCAGTGTCACGTGGCTTGGTAACAAGGTAAGTAGAGTTTCCACCATACTACTCTACAGTGTACGAATAGTTCAGTGCCTAAGTATTCTCATAAATTCCAAGACATTCCTCAGTTCAATGCATACAGTCATTTTACATTGTCTCGATAACATAATCAGAGCCATGGAAACTGTTGCAGAGCAAAAAGAAACAGAAGAAAAAACCAGTAATAAAAAGCAGAATAAGTTAACCCAAGTTGTAATCTTGGACTCAGATGCTGTTGTTTCATCTGCTAGTGAAAGTCAAGAAAGTAGAAGAAGATGGTCAGCTGAGATTCTTGATTACAAGGTAAAGGAGCAGAATCACAATCACAATCACAATCACATGGACAGTAACAGTACAGTTATGGATTTGCATGCAACTAAATTTGCTGGGGTTCATAAGAGAAAATGTGGTAAATATGGTGCTGCAATTAAAGATCCTATTAAGAAAAAAAAGGTTTGGTTGGGTAGCTTTAAAACTGCTCAAGAGGCTTCTAATGCTTATTTGGTGAAGCAATCTGAATTTGCTGCACAACTAGAACTACTCAAGGCAAATCAAGATTCTACTAAAACTAAAAGTAAATCCTCTGCTTCTGTCCAACTCAGGCAAAAAATTCCATCTTCACAGCTCAAATCACAGGGTTCAAATTCCACAAATACAACTAATGCTGCTGAAAGAAGCAAAACCAATGGTAAAAATCTCTTTATTAGGGAGATAAGAAAAGACTCTTTTCAGGAAAAGCAGGTACGTTTGAATCTTTTAAAATAGGTATCAAAAGGCTTTAACTCTAACATGCACATTGCACATTGTCACGTATCCAGTATTTAAGTTTTATGACTTCAATCTTTTAAGTTTATTAGCATTGAACTCATTAAATTTTTTGTAGTTTTAGTTGACTTTTACACAAAAATTTGTGCTCCAGATCAGAAGTACCAGTTCAGATGAACCTCGTACTTCGAAGCTCTATCCACCCTTACACATTGCACAATATCTGAGAAATTAGTAAAAGGAAAGAACTTCATAATTAGTGTAGAATCTTGTAAGCAAACCTCATGTTTAATGGTTAATTTTTTCCAGGGTACAAGAAGATCATCATCTGATGGGTGTAATATTAATACTGTAACAACAAGCAGTACTAAAGCCAAACTAAGCTTACATGGAATCCGAAGGCAAAAGAATGGCAAGTATGGTGCTGTAATTAGAGACCCCATTAGGCTTAAGCAAATATGGTTGGGCACTTTTGACACTGTTGAAGAAGCTTCAGAAGCTTATTTCTCCTACAAGTCTGAGTTTGATAAATTATGCCTGCTGGGAAATAAGGAGAATAAACCAAAGAGTTGTGATCAAATTCAGCACGAATCGCCTGTTGGCGCATCGTTGTCCTTAGATACTGCTAGTGTGGGTAGAGATAAAAGACGCAAAACAACACATATTGTTGGAGTTCACAAGAACAAGTGGGGGAAATATACATCTGAGATTACAAACCCCATCACTAAGAAAAAGATTTGGTTGGGGACTTTTGGCACTGCTGAAGAGGCTTCCCGGGCTTATCAATCGAAGAAACTCGAGTTTCAGAAACTAGTCAAGGCGAAGCAGAAGCAATGCACTAATAACCAAACTCATTTTACTGGTGAATCAAGTGACCAAAGGATTGATTCTCGCGAAAAAAGGCAATCCGTAAGTATGACAAGAAATTTGTTAGGGACTAGTCTTAACACGGCTGAAGAAGCTTTCCGCGCTTATCATCAGTCTAAGGAATTCGATTTTCAGTGCTCAACGAAGTCCGGGCTGCAAAACAATATGCCAACTGATTCTAGTGGAGGGGAGAAGAAACAAGAAGGTCAAGTTGATGAAGATTTGTGGATGGGACATTGGATACAACTTCCAGGTGGTAGTGAAGTCAAATTTTCGCTGAAACTCGGCTTACCAATCATTGATAACTATGGATCTCTTTTAGGTGAGTTCAGATGTTTGGATGATCTCAGTATTTGTTACACTGATGATGAATGTTTTGCCTAGCTTATAGTTTGGAAGTTTTTAAATTGCAAGAAGATTTTTGGGTAGTTCATAGTCTTAGGACTCTGTAGATAGTAGTAATATGTAAGCTTCTTGCAACTTTTGGTCTTAGTCAATATGATAACTAGTGCTGACAAAGGCATATCTAATGCCTGCAATTTTCAGTCTTGACTGTAAATTTCTGACTCTTCAGGCAAGGATGAGCATGTTGTGTTTGCCAACGGGGCGCCACACAACAGAGGAGTTCATGTAGCTACTAACTGAGTGTGGAAGTCTACCCGAGAACCGGTTTCCACCAAGAATAAGGTGTGTTAGATGCTTGCAGTTGTCTATACTGTCCATGTTTTCTTCCTGAAGTAGGTCATCTTTTCGACTGAGGACGAAAAGGGTTGTCGCGATTGAATCCACGTTACATATTGTGTTGGCATCAAAAGTTCCAGAGAAATTGTAACCATCAAAAATGATTTTGTGCACAGAAGGTGTTTTTGCATCACATATAGCACCAGACCATCTGTCCTTGCAAGGATCAGATGTTGAGTTCCAGCCTGAATCAGTTCCAAGAATTGTACTATTGGGGGTTCTTTGGTTGTAAAGAAGTTATCTCAGGATTAATTATCCCAGGATTAGTTATTCCACCTTTCCATGAGGATAAAAAAATATTACAATTCCGAAATTAATTATACCGTAATTTTCTACCAACCAAACATGGGATAAACTCTTCTTATATTTAATTCCGGGATTAATTATTCCTTATCCCTTGTACCAATCGAGCCCTTATTGTTAGAAACCTCTGCAATGAACCTGAGTAATGCCATCTCTAGCCACTGTTTCATCACACTTGGTTAGTATGATATAATGCAGATTTCCCAGTTCTACAGCGGAAAACTAATTGTGATGTCGAAATACCAATGTTGAAATAGTCTTAATCTACTAATCATAGCTCTATTTGGTGAAACATACAATGAAATTTGAATTGCAGTACGGCAGCAAATCAGTGAACTTTGAAACCATTTGTAGCCAGCCGGCCGGCAGCAACACTACTCTTTAACTTTATCCTCTACCGTCTTTTTCTTTAGCTTATTTAAAACTTGGTAAATTTTCAAACAATCCATGCTAGTTTCAAAGAGAAAAAATTATCATGCCAAGGCTCAAAATAACTTGAACATTAGAGCTAATTAACTAATCTATCTGAGTTTTAACTTCTATATGCTACTTGGAGTTAATCCCAAATTTTATATCGAGATTATTATTCTTATCTCATGTACCAAACGACCCCTAAGAAAATAAACCAGCTCTTATATAGAGATGTTTAGTTCATTTTTCTCCTCAAATGTAATATTACGGACAATATATATAGTAACATGCTGATGTGTGACGAATTGTTGTCCTTAATAAAAATTGCAAACTCTATGATATTCGACTTAAAGTATGTATATTGATATGCATATTGCCTTGCATTTTACTCATGTTTCATAGATTTCGGATGTATAATGTAATAATTTGTGCTAATTCGTGATATTTTTATGTGTAAGAGTCATCCGGAGGCAATGTGGAACGAAAGTGTACGATTTGAAGCAAATAGAGAACAAAAGAAGAAAATCGGACAGTGCAACGCCCAGGCGAGCCCGCCGCGTTACCCGGGGCGCAACTTATAAGTGCAAAAATTTATGGTGCCAAGGCTAGCGCGACGCGCTACCCTGGTACGAGTTTTACTCCTATTTCGTTCGGGGTAAGGTTTTGACGGCCCTACATACCCTCAACTCGTATAAAAAGAAGCCTAAACCTATTTTGGAGGGAGAGACGCCACTTTGAGAAAAAAAAAACACAAGCACAGAACACTCAGGAGCAAGGATTCTCAGTTTTTCTTCATCTTTCTTAGTATTTTCAACTATTTAACACTTATGAAATTGTCTAACTTTATCATGAGTGGCTAAGATCCTCATTATCCTGGGGTTATGGGTTGTTATTGACTATTGTTATTTGACGGTTGATGATATTGCTTGATTTTATAATATTAATTTATTTATTCAATCTTACACTTAATTATTCTATTGCGTAGCTAACAATAGAGTACTATCTACAAATTTATAGTTAAACTCGAAAGGGAAAACTATAGATTGCATATAAGATTGAATAGAGTAAGTTCTTGAATCCTGGCATCAAAGAATAGATTCGCGATTAGGTTAGACATATTCTAGTTGCCTTACTTGGTTATTTTTGCAAGAAATACACATGTGTTCTAGTTAATTCTGATTCTATAGACATATAGTCTTATGTTGGCTTGAATAGGCGAGCGAAGCGCCGAAAGAATTTTGCGAGCATAATAAACCGTGCTAATCAATAAATTAGATAAATCAAGTGGGCAAATCAACCGGAAGAACGCAATAGGAGAGACATTAATCTTGTAACCTCGGAATATTCCCATCTCATTGAATTCTTTCTAAGTGTTTGTTTGCTTTACTTGTGATCTTATTTTCTTGTTTGCTTATTAGTTTCGCAGTAATTTAGATAATATAAATCACAATCATTTTTTTCATACTCACTTTAGCATTAAATTTATAAATAGTTTAGATTGGACAATAGTTGATCATAAATCCTCGTGGGAAGGATACTTTCTCTATCACTTTGTTACTTAGATCGCGTATACTTGTGTCTGCGTTCAGACCCAACAAGTTTTTGGCGCCGTTGCCGGGGATTTAGAAATTATCTACTTGTCTGAAATAAACTTTTATTTGTTATTTGTTCGAGATTTAATTTGTTTTGTTGTTTCCTACTCTACAGGTGTTTACATTAAATACTAAGAAGAAGGAGCAGTTTGAACGATCTTCCGCCTTTTGATCCTGAACCTGAAAGAATCTTCCAAATGTTAAGAAGGAAGGTGGAGGCAAGATCAAGATTTGCGAGTTGGGCATTGTAGTCCAACCACAACCAATCGGGATGTCAGAAAATGAAGAGAGACAAGTGATTGAGGCCGCAGGTCTAGTCTTGCGAACTTGACTGAGGCTGTCGTGAAGCCTAAAATAACTGGTCACTTTGAGCTGAAGTAGTACATGATGCAACTGATTCAATCCACAAGTCTATTTGTGGGTTTATCGAGTGAAGATCCCTAAAGGCATATACAATTTTTTTGGAGATTATGGATACATACAACTATTCAAACGTCTCCAAAGACTATATCAGACTGACTTTATTTCCGTTTTCTCTGATGGGGAATAAAAGGAATGGTTAAACAAAGAGTCCGCAAACTCGATCCACACTTGGGATGATCTAGCACGAAAATTCTTAATCAAGGATTTTTTCACTAAAAAGACAAAGGCGTTGCGGAGCCAAATTCTTGAGTTTCAACAACAAGATAATGAGACTCTTCATCAAGCATGGAAAAGAATTTCACAAAGACTTCCCACATCATTGTCAGACTAATTAAGTGTTCGGACATATTTTTGTGGATGGGTTGGACGAGACCTCCAAATTAAATCTAGACTCAGCTTGTGGAGGAAGTTGCATACATAAACCATATAGTGGGATTCAAACTCTACTAAAGAATTTCGCGGCAAACGATCATAACTAGTAGGGTGAGGGTGAACCAAGAAGGATGATAAAATAGAAGGCAACATGTACACTTGAGCTGGATGAGCTGTCAGCCATACATGCAGAAATTTCTAAACTTACCAACCAAGTGGCTAAGATGGCAATGAGTCAAGGGCATCAGATGCATCAGGTTCAAAGGATGTCCATATGTTGTGCAATTTGTGGAGATGGTCATATGGGTGACCAATTTCCGGTGAATCCCGAGAATCTATTTATTATGTGGGCCATCAAGGCCCAATGAACCAGAATACACAACATGGAAACACCTATAATTCCAACTGGAGGAATCACCCGAATTTCTCATGGGGTGGAAACCAGGCCACTCAAAATTAATACAGACCTTAAGGGAATTACGATCAGCCTCAAAAGCCACCCATCAGGTAGAAGAAAGCACCAATGATATATTGAAAAAGCTGTTAATTAACAACCACCAACAACTTTGAATAGACAACCAGCAATTGAGGACTGAATTTCGAAACATAGAGAGAGGCAGATTGGTCAGCTGGCTGCATAACAAAATACTCAACCTGCAGGGTCCCTTCCAAGAGATACAGATAAGAATCCTCAAGTAAATGCTGTAACTTTGATGAATGGAAGAGAATTGGAGGAAGTACTAAAAAGAAAGAACGAAAAAGTCACTCCAAGGGCGATTTGGTTCCCAAAACTGTGGTGGAAACTGAGAAAGAAACAGAGGAAAGTGAAAAAACTCCAGTTGCAAGGCTACCACCTCCTTTTCCACAAAGATTAAAGAAGAAAAGTGATGACGGGATGCTCAACAAATTTCTTGATATGCTGAGTTAAATTTAATTGAATCTCCCATTGGTTGATGTGTTACGTGAAATTCCAAAGTATGCCAAGTACATCAAAGATATTGTGGCTAATAAAAGAAGATTGGCAGAGTTTGAGACAGTGGCACTTACTGAAGAGTACACTTCACGAATTCAAAGAAAGTTTCCCCAAAAGTTGAAGGATCTGGGGAGCTTCACCATACCTGTTCGAATTGGTGAGGTAGATGTGGGACGAGCACTTTGTAATTTGGGGGCTAGAATAAATTTAATTCCCCTTTCAATTTTCAGTCAATTGGAGTCGGGGGCTAATAAGTAGGGATTTTAACCTATTATTTGTTCTCTTTTACTTGTGTTTTAGGCCAAAAATGCTTGAAGGTATTTCCGGAAACTAATGAAATATGCTTTCTTGCAGGAATTGTTCAAAATGAGCCAAAGGAATCAAAATCAACTCACAAAGGAGTCAAAGGTTGAACAAAAACCAAGGCTGGGTAAAGAGGTCTGAAGCGCGGACCGCACAAATATTGTGCGATCGCGAAAGCTATGAAGAAGCCGCGATCAAAATTATGCGGTCCGCAAGAGGCACATTCAGAGAGTGTGATTTTGGGCTAAGTGATGAGCACGGACTGCACCAGAAATATGCGCCCGCGAAAGTCCTTGTGCGGCCGCGATTGAAATTACGCGGACCGCGATGACTGAGATTCAGAGAGCTGACAACTTGAGCAAAGGAGAGAAGTGCGGGCCGCGCCAGAATTGT